CCTGGGAGTCATGCTATCGAGAGGCGAGTCTCCAGAACGGAGATGGCGGGCATGGTAGCTGAAATGTAAAAATTGAACACCAGTCCGTACTACACCATCGCACTGGGTCTCGGCAGTCTACGGGGCAAGAGAGAGGGTCGTCATGGTTTGCTCAAATCAATGCTTTCAGTTGTACAGTGTGAGGTGCGCAGCTTCAATGCCGACACGCCCGCGCCCACCACTGCTAATGGTTGATCCCGGCCAAACCTCTTCCTCCCGGACGCCAAAGTGTATCATGACAAGCCCGTATCGCCTGCGCGCGCCGTTCCGCCCGGTCTATTTTGGCCCCGCGGCGCCTTGCCCGCGCCTCTGCGCCCTATCGCTCCCGGCACCGGGGCTTTGCCCTTCGTGTCGAGTTGTCTATTTCTTCTTCTCCTTGTTCTCCTTCTCCTTGTCGGAGCCCTCCTTACCCTCGCCATTCACGCCATTGGCAGCGCCGTCCTTCTTCTCGTCCTTGTCGCCGTTGGCCGCGTCATCCTTCTTCGCCTCCTTGTCCTCCTGCTGCTGGCGGTTCTGAATCTTGTTCTCGATGAGATCGTGGAAGGCCGTGATGGCACGGATGAGACTGCTGAGGTAGATCGCCATGAGCTGGTCGTTGGTCTTGACGCCCATCGCATATGAGAGTTCGCTGCCCGCGGGCTTAGTGCTGCCGTCGGCGCTAGCCTTGGGTGTGGAGAGGTTGGGCAGGAGGTTGAAGACGTCTTGCAGATTGCCGAGAATGGCGTGGTTGACGGGCAGCTGGCCGTCGAGGACCTTCTGGAGGTATGCGCCAATGTCACGGAGGCGTAGGTGCAACCCTTGCAGGGATTGCAGCTGGTTCGTTATCCGCGTGGAGAGGGTGCCGACGGCGACGTCGCGAATGTCGCGAAGGAGATGCTCAACACCGATCTCTTCCGCTTCCTCGGCCTCGATGATGGAGGGTGTGTGTACAAAGGTCCGGGACGTTGTGGTGCCATCCTTTTTTTTTTTAAGTCAGCAAGGGCCTTGCCAGCAGTGTTATGTACACTTACATCCTTGATCTCCTCTACCGCAAAATACGCATCTGTGGGCACGCCAGACTCCTTCGGCTGAACATCGATAATGACAAGGAGGGGGTTTGGTGTGTATCGCTTGAACAGCTCGTTGATCTCCAAATCTGACGCGCGCAGCTTGGGTCCAGAGTGGTACCACCCGATCAGCTTCTCCTTCGCATTGACCTTCTTGAACATGTCGTTCATGCCCTCGACATAGTTGTGGTCCAAGAACCATACGGAGGGATCCTTTTCATCCTCTTCGAAGGGCACTGTGGCGATGGTTTGTCAGCCCTGCGATCATTCATGGCGCTCTCAGGAATCAGAAGCCAGAGTTCGACTCACCTGCGAAGCTGTTTGACACCCTGACGTTCTTTCCATCGTTCTGACCCAATAGCACACCGACGACTCTGCGCTTGGAGCCCTTGAACACAGCACGGTTGTAATGATCGACGGCGGAGAGGAGGACGAGAGGGGCGACGGAGACGTTTCGGTTAACGAGAGAGAGCGTGTCTGCTGTGGTGGCAGGCATGGTGGGTGGTTTGGGTCTCGGTGCAGCAGAGAGGGGGTGGTTTGGTGGTTGGCGAGAGGGAGAGATGGCGATGGTAGTGCAGCGGCGGTTTTCGATATCGTTGGTGGTGTTGTCGTAACTTGATGCTGCCTTCCGCCTTGCGCCCAGCTCAGAGCTCTCAGAGCAGCTTAGCGCACCAAGGGAGCTGTAGCGCGAGGTCACGTGCGATGCTGGGGGGGCAATGATTAGATAAGCTTCGGGCACCTGGGCCGGGCAAGTGAACGAGGTGCTAGGTAGAGTCCTCGATGCCATTCTGAGCGAGTCGTCATGTTCACGTGGGCTTGCATTCTATCTATGCATACAAGTTTGTGCATACAACAAAGCAGGAATCGGAGCATGGCCCTCTTGTCTGGCTTTCTGACACGCAAATGATCATCAATAGGCATGTGAGAAGCCAATGCCGGCACCACATACCGATGGTATGACCTTGATGCCAACCCCATTCGTGCCGGGTGTGTGTATTAATGTCGCACCGCCAGCAAGGCGGTGGTGACCTCATACCAACCTTATCCGTGCTTCTCCCGAAGAACCGAAGGGATTATCCGAGTACTAACCAGTCTGACCGAACCTCGGCGCAGAGGAATGTCCAGTGGGGGGCCAGGGCCAATAGCGACGGCGTCGCTGTAACGGAACAGCTGGCAGGCGGGAATACGGAGGCTATAGCACGCAACAACAGGACGAAACAGCCGGACGACCGCTGTAGAGCTCCACTGTGTTTTTGGGGCGCCCCACATGCTTTCCCACCCGTCACGTCTGGGTGCGCTCAACGCTCGCTGCGGGTGGATGGTGGATGGTGGATGGTGGATGGTGGATGGTGGAAAGCCAGAGCCACCGTCGCAACAATAGAGATCCCAGACGGCAGGCCCCTGGTCCCTGCTCGGGTGCGACTGGCTGCTCTGGCCCGGGTCGGTGCACAGGTACACAGGCAGGTGCGCGAGAACACAGCTCCTAGCCCGGCCTTAACCTTCGACCTTGATTACCTGTCGTTCAGTTCTCAACACCATCCAACCCTCTGCCAATTTATTTTTTTCTCACCCTTCTCCTCCCCACGACTATACACGACTCGGTCCTCCCACCTCCTCCCCTTTCTGTGCCTTCGATTAGCTCCTCCTTCCCTTTCGAGACACACTTTCGCAACTCTGCCCCGGTACGGCCTCGTTCACTCGAAGCTCTGCAACAATGGGTATCATTGAGGATGAAGTCAAGCGGTTGACCGGTGTGGTCGAGGGCCTCGAGTCGCGGATCAAGTCTCTGGAGCAGAAGTCCTTTGGTACCACGACCAAGAGTGCCGAGGAGGTCCGCATGATCCTCATCGGCCCCCCTGGTGCTGGTATGCTCGTCCTACTGGCGTCTTTTTCGCGCCTGTTTTCGCAGAGGTATCTGGTGCTGACGTTTGACCTTCTCCGTAGGCAAGGGCACGCAAGCTCCCAAGATCAAGGAGAAGTTCTCCTGCTGCCACCTGGTATGTCAATTGGCTTGTTCAAACGACATTTTTGCCAAGATTTGAACGCTGTACTGATCTCGTGCTCGCGCGTAGGCCACCGGTGACATGCTGCGATCGCAAGTCGCGAAAAAGACTCCGCTGGGCCGAGAAGCCAAGAAGATCATGGACCAGGGCGGCCTCGTCAGCGACGAGATTGTCATCGGCATGATCCAGGAGGAGCTCGACAACAACAAGGAGTGCAAGGGAGGGTATGTTGTCTTTGCCCTTTTCTCCCCCCATCCGGTGCATCACCGACCCGTGCTAACCGTGCACCACCAGCTTCATCCTCGACGGTTTCCCCCGCACCGTCGTCCAGGCCCAGCGCCTCGACGAGATGCTCGCCGAGCGCAAGAAGAACCTCCAGCACGCCGTCGAGCTGCAAATCGACGACTCCCTCCTCGTCGCCCGCATCACCGGCCGTCTCGTCCATCCCGCCTCTGGCCGCTCGTACCACAGCACCTTCAACCCTCCCAAGGAGCACATGAAGGACGACGTCACCGGCGAGCCTCTCATCCAGCGCAGTGACGACAACGCCGAGGCCCTGAAGAAGCGTCTGGCCACCTACCACCAGCAGACCGCCCCTGTCGTGGGTTACTACCAGAAGACCGGTATCTGGAAGGGCATCGACGCCTCCCAGCAGCCCTCGCAGGTATGGAAGAACATGCTCACCATTTTCGATGCCCAGCGCAAGCCCAGCGCTCCCGGCATCATCAGCCGCATCACCGGCTCACAGTAAGCGGGTTGCCCCAGGCAGCCCGTCTCCCCCTTGGATGCCCTGCCACCACTGGAAGCAGGACTCGCGTGAATGGGAGGGGAGAAATGGTCGGAAGCAACGGAGGAGAGTTGAGGAGCACGATGCGAAGTTTCCTGGATGTCACGCCCGGCACGGAGGGGGAAAAGCGCTTCATGATGTTTGTTTTGAGCTCCAAGCCTCCGGATGAGGCGTTGGACAATTGGGGTTGCTGCATCGGGGAGCCTGCGCTCGTCTCTGCCAGGGGGTTAGCGACGGAGTATGTTCATTGTACTTGTCCGGGAGACCCTCGGCCACCATCACGCCTTGTATGTATCACTGTCTCACTAATAAACCGAATGGAGGTTTAAGGATGAACTCTTCTGCCATTCTTCCGCCATTATTGTGATGTTTTGGAGTCTCGTGCTGATTGCGTGCATGTACTCGGACTCGTTGCTGCACCGTATCTTGAGTCTGTGGCCATCGTGGTTTGGTTCAGTTCTCGTTGGGATACTCTCTGGACAGCATGAAGTACGTGAACAACGATTTGACACAATACCCTGTTTGACAGTTGCGTATTGTCCTACAAACTGCGGCAAAAACTCATTGTGTAGACCTGAATCCTTGGGTCAAGGAACGTGTTTTTGAACTGCACCACAACAACTCATATCCCTCGCGTCCAACCCCTACCCGACACGAGGATATGGACGGGCGGGCGACCTTGACCTCGCACCGCATGTACATCAATCTTTTCCATGCAGTGAGGATCACTAGACGTCTGACCAAAGGACAACGTCAGTTTGCCAGGCATTTTTCAAGCTGACTAGTAGCCCCCAAGGTTGGCACGAGCACCGTCAAAGCATCCCATATCATCCCACGGCACATGTCACTGTGAACAAACATCGCCCTAACTGGGGTTTACACGCAATGGAGTGGTGTTTTCCACCTAGTATTGAATGTGGGGGGGTATTTACTTCTATCTCCTTTCAGACCTCCCAAAACCCGACACTCTAGCAGAACAACTCCGGAGGAAAACAGCAACCCAGGAACGTGCCGCACGCCAGAGGAATGCGACGAAGCCAGCTACCGTCGATCGAGGAGAAACAAGAAAGCAGGGCGGTTCAATTGATGACGGAGCACGCGGTCGGCGTCAACACCACAACATGTGGGTGAATCCGTGAAAACGTGCCTAAATGTGAAGTTTCGAGAGGCTGAGATGGATTTTGGGAGAGAAAAAGGGAACGCTCTAATGCGATGAGTGATATGATAATGATGATCGTGGTATAAGTGGAGGGCTGAAAAAGGTCGTAAAGTCAGGTGCGTGACGCTTGCCGGTCTGAACGGTCAAGCTCACTTCCTAGGGGTAGCTGGACATATCAATAACTATCAGCGATGTGTTCTGCCGCGGCTTGGGGGTCCTGGCGCGGCGTCGCGGAGACGACCGCATCATGCTTGGAAGAAGCAGGGCTTGGCCGTACCATTGACCATCTGGCGCTGTTTGTTGAGCCAGCTACGCGGCACACTACGTGTGCGTCTTTGCAGAACGACGTGGTGCTTTGCAACCTGCTTGTGAGGTCGTACCCGCCGTGGCGATGAGCGCGTTCTCGCGCTGCAGGGTTCTTGATAATCTGGTCGCTCTGGGTCTTCAGGTTGCAATAGTCAGCGTCAGATTCTCACGCGAAATGAAGTGAAGACCCGTTTTTCGAGAAAAGAGAGACGGGAATTTTTTCCTGCGCTGTTCAAGGGAAAGGGGGAGGCTCTTGGGAGCAAAGTATCGTCCAGCGTATACCTTTTGTGCCAGTGCGGCGCCGCCATCTGTTGAGGCTTTAAGCTTGCGCGTAAGGTCGTGCCTGTCGCGTTCGGCTTTCTCGAGTTGCTAGAAGATGCCATGTCAGTCTGTGTTTCATACATCCGCGAGTGACGATGATGCCCATCAATTGTGCAGCTTCCACTTGAAAGTACAGCCATCCACCGGCATCTACCAGAACAGTGCCCCCCAAGAGCTGCGCTTCTCTTGAGGGACGCTGCTGTGGACGGACCACCAAGACGTGGGCCGTTCCTTGGGTTCCGGGAGTATCGGGTTCGAGCCTTGAACGGGGGCAGGTATGCCTGATTCTGCCGTTCCGATGCATGTTGGGGAGTGTACGGACGAAAGGGAGAGCTTGGGGGCAGTCATTTTGAAGGCTGGTTCTCGCGCCAGCGGATGGCTGTCCCTGACAAGGGCAGCGGAAGGACGGGCTGGTAAGATGCTACTACGGGCCTGTTTGCACGCAGGCGGCCTTGTGGGCTGTCCGGGGAGGCGCGTGTTGTTGTCGGGGAAGATGACGATGTGGTCTCGCGTATATCTCGACTGGACTGAAAGAGGGCCACTCACCTCGTTGCGCTCCTTGAGCCGGTCACGCAGCTGTTGGATCTTCTCCAGATATTTGGACGAGTCTTGGCCAGCGCCCTGCTCCTTGACGGTATCGAGGTCCTTTCGAAGCTCGTCCTTCTCGAGGAGGGCTTTGGTCAGTGCCTTTTGCGCCTCCTGCACGTCCGTGGCGGCGTTCTTGTGGTCGGTTCGCAGCGCCTCGAGCTCCTCCTGCAGCGAGCCGGAGATGAGCTTGTCGGTTGCCTTGAGCTCTTCGAGCGCTTCAATACTATCCTTCTCGACGGCTGAAAGGTCAGTCTTCGCACTCAACAGTTCGCGGTCGCGGTCCGCGATGCGGTTTCGTAGTTCTGTCGCCAGCTCCATGTGTTGCTTGAGCTCCAATTCCGACTTCTTCTGCTGTGCGACGAGTTCGTTGTAGGCCCTGGCGGTGAAGAACTCCTGCGTTAGCATTGCCACGTTGCCACCGGCGGGGAACAGGACATCCATCTTCTCGACATACTTTTCGTCCGTCATGTCGCGCAGCAGTGACTGGACCTGTGCTTCCGCCACGGTGTGCTTCTCGTGAATATCGTTGAAGTTCTTCTGCAGCCGGTTGCGCTGCGCAGGTTCTTCATCGAGCTCCTTGCGCAAGCGTGACTGTTCTGATCTCGAGCCCATGCTGTGATCAACATTTGGGACTCGGACTTGATCCTTGAGATCTCGAGGCTCAGAT